GAATTTTGAAGATCATCTCTTCAAAGGGACCAAAGGGAAAAGGGAATTCTTGTTGCTGCTTTTTAGTCCTGGTCATGTCTTTGGAAAGGATTTTCTGAGGGAAAAATGGTGGAAAAATGGAGAAAAATGGTGGAAAATGGTGGAAAATGGTGGGAAAATGGGGAAAAATGGTGGAAAATGGTGGAAAAATGGAGAAAAATGGAGAAAAATGGTGAAAATGGTGGAAAATGGTTGAAAATGGAGAAAAATGGTGGAAAATGGAGAAAAATGGTGGAAAATGGTGGAAAATGGTGGAAAATGGTGGAAAATGGTGGAAAATGGAGGAAAATGGGGAAAAATGGTGAAAAATGGTGAAAAATTGTGGAAAATGGTGGAAAATGGTGGAAAAATGGTGGAAAATGGGGAAAAATGGAGAAAAATGGTGGAAAATGGTGGAAAATGGTGGAAAAATGGAGAAAAATGGTGATAAATGGTGGAAAATGGAGTAAAATGGAGAAAAATGGAGAAAAATGGTGGAAAAATGGTGGGAAAATGATGAAAAATGGAGAAAAATGGTGGAAAATGGAGGAAAATGGGGGAAAATGGTGAAAAATGGTGAAAAATTGTGGAAAATGGTGGAAAATGGTGGAAAAATGGTGGAAAAATGGTGGAAAATGGTGGAAAATGGTGGAAAAATGGAGAAAAATGGTGAAAATTGGGGAAAAATGGTGAAAAATGGTGAAAAAATGGAGAAAAATGGAGAAAAATGGTGAAAAATGGTGAAAAATGGTGGGAAAATGGTGGGAAAATGGGGAAAAATGGAGAAAAATGGTGGGAAAATGGTGAAAATTGGGGGAAAATGGTGAAAAATGGTGGAAAATGGAGAAAAATGGTGAAAAATGGGGAAAAATGATGGAAAATGGTGGAAAATGGAGTAAAATGGTGAAAATGGTGGAAAATGGTGGAAAAATGGAGAAAAATGGGGAAAAATGGTGAAAAAATGGTGAAAAATGGAGAAAAATGGAGAAAAATGGTGGAAAATGGAGAAAATTTGAGAAAAATGGTGGAAAATGGGGAAAAATGGAGAAAAATGGAGAAAAATGGTGAAAAATGGTGGAAAATGGGGAAAAATGGAGAAAAATGGTGGGAAAATGGTGAAAATTGGGGGAAAATGGTGAAAAATGGTGGAAAATCGCAGCAACGCAATTGCTTAGTGCAAAAACCCCCAAAGAAATGGGTATTTCAAGAGATTTTACAGCGATTTCCAAAGGGGGGAACGCTCTGGAAAAGGGTTTGTAAGAGATTGAGAAAATGCAGAAATCCTCAGGCAGAAATTGTGGGGATGGGGAGGGGGAAAATCCGATTTGGGAAATGGAGAGAGGTCACGAAATGAGGAAAATCAGCTTGGCAAAAATGAAAATAAAAATGGGAAAAAATGAAAATAAAAATGAGAAAAATCAGCTTGGCAAAAAGAAATAAAAATGAGAAAAAATCAAAATCAAAATGAGAAAAATCAGCGCGGCAAAAATGAAATAAAAATGGGAAAAAATAAAAATAAAAATCAAAATGAGAAAAATCAGCGTGGCAAAAATGAAATAAAAATGGGAAAAAATGAAAATAAAAATAAGAATGAGAAAAATCAGCTTGCCAAAAATAAATAAAAAGGAGAAAAATCAGCTTGGCAAAAATAAAAATAAAAATGGGAAAAAATGAAAATAAAAATCAAAATAAATGGGAAAAATCAGCTTGGCAAAAATGAAAATAAAAATGGGAAAAAATGAAAATTAAAATGAGAAAAATCAGCTTGGCAAAAAGAAATAAAAATGAGAAAAAATCAAAATAAAAATGAGAAAAATCAGCGTGGCAAAAATGAAATAAAAATGAGAAAAAATAAAAATAAAAATCAAAATGAGAAAAATCAGCGTGGCAAAATCAAAATAAATGGGAAAAATCAGCTTGGCAAAAATAAAGAAATATGAGAAAAAATAGAAATAAAAATGGGAAAAATCAGCTTGGCAAAAAGAAATAAAAAGGAGAAAAATCAGCTTGGCAAAAATAAAAATAAAAATAAAAATGAGAAAAATCAGCCTGGGGAGAACCTGGCTCAGTTATTCCCATTTCAGGGCAGAAAAGGTGAAAAATTCTCATTTTTCCAACAGGGATCTAAAATTCAGCAGCTGAGTCCTGCAAGTAGTTCAATTCTTTTCATTTTTCAAAATTTTAAAGTTATTTCAATATTTCCCAAATTTTTCCAAATTTGAATTATTTCAAAAGTTTTCAAAAATTTTTCATCTGTAATTTGAATTTTGCATTTCCGTTCACATCCCAGAGGGCTCGGAGCAGTCTTGGCTGCTCGGGAACAACCAAAAATTTGAAATTTTTTTTTGAATTTCCTTTTCCTGAAAACCTGAGCCTCTTTGCAAAGCCAGGAACCATTTTAATGGTGATAATTGGTATAATTTGAATTATAATTATTTCTAATTTCACCTGGCTGGGCTGGGGGCAGAATTCCCAAATCCAAATCCTGCGTCCAAACTTGATCAATTCCTGCAGGGTTCAAAGGGCCCCAAAAATTCTTAAAATTTCAGCTCAAAATTTCAGCATTCTCCCTCTCAAATTCAGAATTCTCTCTCTCAAAATTCAGAATTTTTAGTGCCAAATTTTGGAACATTTCTGATCCAAACTGAGCCCAGCATGGGTGAAAAGAAGATTTTTTTTTTCATTTTGTGGAAAATCAGATTTTTCACCTTTTCACGGAGCAGCTCTGCCTCCGGCACCTTTCCTGGCTCAGTTTTTCAACAGAAATGATCGGAATTTTCAACAGAAATGATCAGAATTTTCAACAGAAATTGATCGGAATTTTCAACAGAAATGATCAGAATTTTAAACAGAAATGATCAGAATTTTCAACAGAAATTATACAGAATTTTCAACAGAAATGATCAGAATTTGCTGGGAAATGTTTAAAATTTCCTCACCAATCACTGACACATCAGGGTTTGGGTTTTCGTGGAGAAAAGAGGAGATGAAATCAAATGAAACTGAGCGGGATTAAATGCACAGGGAGGGTGAAATAATGAAAATGAGCAGGATTAAATCAAATTAAAATGAGCAGGATTAAATCAAATTAAAATGAGCAGGATTGAATCATGAAAATGAGCAGGATTAAATGCACAGAGAGGATGAAATCAAATGAAAATAAACAGGATTAAATGAAATTAAACTGAGCAGGATTAAATGAAATTAAACTGAGCAGGATTAAACGCACAGAATGGATGAAATCAAATTAAAATGAGCAGGATTAAATAATGAAAATCAGCAGGATTAAATAAAATAAAACTGAGCAGGATGAAATAATGAAAATGAGCAGGATTAAATGCACAGGGAGGATTAAATGAAATGAAAATGAGCAGGATTAAATCATGAAAATAAACAGGATTAAATGAAATAAAACTGAGCAGGATTAAATGCACAGAATGGATTAAATCAAATTAAAATGAGCAGGATTAAATCAAATTAAAATGAGCAGGATGAAATAAAATGAAACTGAGCAGGATTGAATGCACAGAGAGGGTTAAATCAAATGAAACTGAGCAGGATGAAATGCACAGAATGGATTAAATCAAATTAAAATGAGCAGGATTAAATGAAATTAAAATGAGAAGGATTAAATAATGAAAATGAGCAGGATTAAATGCACAGGGAGGATTAAATCAAATGAAAATGAGCAGGATTAAATCAAATAAAACTGAGCAGGATTGAATAATGAAATTGAGCAGGATTAAATGCACAGAATGGATTAAATAAAATGAAAAATGAACAGGATTCAGGATGAAATCAAATGAAAATAAACAGGATTAAATGAAATAAAACTGAGCAGGATGAAATGCACAGAATGGATTAAATCAAATGAAAATGAGCAGGATTAAATGAAATTAAAATGAGCAGGATTAAATAATGAAAATGAGCAGGATGAAATGCACAGAAAGGATTAAATCAAATTAAAATGAGCAGGATTAAATCAAATAAAACTGAGCAGGATTGAATAATGAAACTGAGCGGGATTAAATGAAATTAAAATGAGAAGGATTAAATAATGAAAATGAGCAGGATGAAATGCACAGAATGGATTAAATGAAATGAAAATGAGCAGGATTCAGGATGAAATCAAATTAAAATGAGCAGGATGAAATGAAATTAAACTGAGCAGGATTAAAAAATGAAAATAAACAGGATGAAATGAAATGAAACCGAGCAGGATTTCCCCAGTCCCTGCAGCCCCTGTGCCCCCACACAAGCAATGGGGGGATTAAATGCACAGAATGGATTAAATAAAATTTAAATAAACAGAATTAAATGAAATGAAACCGAGCAGGATTTCCCCAGTCCCTGCAGCCCCTGTGCCCCCCCAAACCAACGGGATCCCCTTGCTGGGGTTTGGATTTTGGGGACCCCCAAGGACGAAGATTTCGGCCCCTGCCCCAGAATGATTTCATTTTTGGGGTTCCAGGGCCATTTCCCTGCATTTTCCTCTTGTGCCAGTGCAGAAAATTCTCCCAAAGCAGCGCAGAACCCGCGGGCAGGCGAAAACCCAACAGCAGAACGGAGAAATTCGGGAGGAGCCCGACGAGGACAGGCCAGCAAAGACACGAACACAACTCCATAGTGACAGAAAGTTCATTAATTCATTCGTTAATTAGCGTATTAAAACCTGCACCTTGATATTAGACTAATTGCAGTTTGTAGTAGGCATGCAATAGTGAGTACACTGGTATATATAGTTGTGGTAGTTTTTGTTTTTTTATTTATTTCTTCCTTTTCTTCTCTTTTATTCCCATTTTTTTAAAGGGTTTTAGTGCCCTGCAAAACCCACAGCGACTGAAGAGAGCCTTTGTAAAAACTTGGTTCTTTTCTGATCATTTATTCCCCATTTTATTTGATTTTTTGTAGAATTTATTCCCCATTTTATTTGATTTTTTGTAGAATTTATTCCCCATTTTATTTTACTTTTTTGTAGAATTTATTCCCCATTTTATTTTACTTTTTTGTAGAATTTATTCCCCATTTTATTTATTTATTTTTGCAGAATTCATTCCCCATTTTTTAAACCCTTTAGTACCTTGCAAAACCCACTTGAACAAAAGAGAACTTTTATTTTAAAACTATTTCTTATCATTCATTCCCCTTTTTTTTAGTTTTTTAGTGCCTTGCAAAACCACATCAACTGAAGAGAATTCATTTTTTAAACTATTTCTTCCTTATAATTTATTCCCCATTTTTTGTAGAATTCATTCCCCATTTTTTAAACCCTTTAGTACCTTGCAAAACCGCATCAACTAAAGAGAAATTTTTAAAAGAATTATTTCTTTCTTATTCCCCAATTTTAGGATTTCAGTGCCTTGCAAAACCACATCAACTAAGGAGAATTTTTAAAACTTATTTCTTCCTTATCATTCATTCCCCTTTCTTTTAGTTTCGTAGTGCCTTGCAAAACCGCATCAACTAAAGAAAACAAATTTTTAAAAAATTATTTCTTTCTCCTAATTTATTCCCCATTTTTAAAGGGTTTTAGTGCCCTGCAAAACCCACAGCGACTGAAGAGAGCCTTTGTAAAAAATTGGTTCTTTCTGATCATTTATTCCCCATTTTATTTGATTTTTTGTAGAATTTATTCCCCTTTTTTTTGGATTTTAGTGCCCTGCAAAACCCACATCAACTAAAGAGAATTTTTAAAAAATTATTTCTTTCTTATCATTCATTCCCCATTTTTTTAGAATTTCAGTGCCCTGCAAAACCCACATCAACTGAATAGAATTTATTTATTAAATTATTTCTTCCTTATCATTAATTCCCCATTCTTTTAGTTTTTTAGTGCCTTACAAAACCCACTTGAACTAAAGAGAATTTTTTAAAATTATTTGCTCCTTAGAATTTATTCCCCATTTTTTTGTACAATTTATTCCCCATTTTTTAAACACTTTAGTGCCTTGCAAAACCACGTTAACTAAGGAGAATTTTTAAAATTATTTCTTTCTTATAATCTATTCCCATTATTTTGTAGAATTCATTCCCCATTTTATTTATTTATTTTTGCAGAATTCATTCCCCATTTTTTAAACCCTTTAGTACCTTGCAAAACCCACTTGAACTAAAGAGAACTTTTATTTTTAAAATATTTCTAATCATTTATTCCCCATTTTTTAGTGCCTTGTAAAACCGCATCAAATAAAGAGAATTCATTTTTTTAACTATTTCTTCCTTATAATTTATTCCCATTTTTTAAACACTTTAGTGCCTTGCAAAACCACGTTAACTAAAGAGAATTTTTTTTTTTAACTATTTCTTCCTTATAATTTATTCCCCATTATTTTGTAGAATTCATTCCCCATTTTCTAAACACTTTACTACCTTGCAAAACCGCATCAACTAAAGAGAAATTGAAAAAAATTATTTCTTTCTTATTCCCCAATTTTAGGATTTCAGTGCCTTGCAAAAACCACGTTAACTAAGGAGAATTTTTAAAGTTAGTTCTTTCTTATAATCTCTTCCCATTTTTTTTGTAGAATTTATTCCCCATTTTATTCATTTATTTTTTGCAGAATCCATTCCCCATTTTAAAACCCTTTGCCACCTTACAGACCCCTCTCGCACTAAATCCAAACTCCCATTTCCCAACCATTCCCCCTCACCCACACCCCATTTTTTCCCCCACTTTCCCACCCAACCCAACCCAACCCAACCCAACCCAACCCACCGGCCGCCGCTTCTTCTTCTCTCAACTCAACCCCACTCCAGTCCCAGCGCCAACCCAACCTCGTGGCACCTCCCGGGTTGGCATTTAGTACTCGCTCAGGCTGTGCCACTTGGCCACGCTCTTGCCGGGGCCGTCGCACACCTGGCGCCAGTGCTCGGCGCCCGCGGCGCTGGCGCTGTGCGCGCCCAGGATCAGCCGCCCCACGGCCTCGTTCTTGGTGGTGCGCTCGAAGTCGATCACCAGGAACTCGACGCTGACGTCGGGCAGCAGCTCGGCCGGGATGTCGTAGCTGAAGGACTCGTTGAACACGGGGTTCAGCGTGCACTTCTTGACGTGCGTCTTCTTCTTGGCGATGCGCTTGCGGCCGTAGTACACGTTCACCTTGACGTAGGGGTCTGCAAACGGAGGGGGGAGAGGGCGGCCAGTGACACGGCCCAGGGGGCTCCAGCACGGCCTGGGGGCGCTGGGAGGAACTGGTTTGGGCTGGGGAGGAGGTAAAATCCCATTTCACACCTTTCTGTACCCCAGGCAGAGGTTTGGGCTGGGAGGGACTTAAAAATCCCATTCCATTCCTGCTCATCCCATTCCAGACCTTCTACTAGAAGGTAGAAATCTGGGCTCTGGTTTGCGTTGGGAGGAACCTCAAAATCCCATTCTACTCATCCCCATCACATTCCACACCTTTCTGTACCCCAGGTAGAGGTTTGGGATGGGAAGGACTTAAAAATCCCATTCTACTCATCCCCATCCCATTTGACACCTTCCCCTACCTCAGGTAAAGGTTTGGGCTCTGGTTTGGGCTGGGTGGGACTTAAAATCTCATTTTACTCATATTCCCATCCCATTCCACACCTTTCCGTTCCCCAGGTAAAGGTTTGGGCTCTGGTTTGGGCTGGGAGGAACCTCAAAATCCCATTCCATTCTTGCTCATCCCTTTCCACACCTTTGTCTACCCCAGGTAGAGATTTGGGCTGGGAGGGACTTAAAAATCCCATTCCACTCCTGCCCATCCCCCATTCCACACCTTCCTGTACCCAAGATAGAAGTCTGGGCTCTGGTTTGGGCTGGGGGGGACTTAAAAATTCCTGCCCATCCCATTCCAGATCTTCTACTACTCCAGGGAGAGGTTTGGGCTCTGGTTTGGGCTGGAGGGACTTAAAATCCCATTCTATACCTTTCTGTACCCCAGGTAGTTGTCTGGGCTCTGGTTTGCGTTGGGAGGAACCTCAAAATCCCATTCTACTCATCCCCATCACATTCCACACCTTCCGTGACCCCAGGTAGAGGTTTGGGCTGGGAGGAACCTCAAAATCCCATTCTACTCCTGCCCATCCCTTTCTACACCTTTGTCTACCCCAGATAGATATTTGGGCTGGCAGGGACTTAAAAATCCCATTCTACTCCTGCCCATCCCATTCCACACCTTCGTCTACCCCAGGTGGAGCTGCCCCGTAGTACACGTTCACCTTGACGTAGGGGTCTGCAAACGGAGGGGGGAGAGGGCGGCCAGTGACACGGCCCAGGGGGCTCCAGCACGGCCTGGGGGCGCTGGGAGGAACTGGTTTGGGCTGGAGAGGAGGTAAAATCCCATTTCACACCTTCCTCTACCTCAGGTAGAAGTTTGGGCTGGGAAGGACTTAAAAATCCCATTCTACTCCTGCCCATCCCATTTCACACCTTCCTCTACCTCAGGTAGAGGTCTGGCTCTGGTTTGGGCTGGGAGGAACCTCAAAATCCCATTCTGCTCATCCCTGTCCCACTCCATACCTTCCATGACCCCAGGCAGAGATTTGGGCTGGAAGGGACTTAAAAATCCCATTTCACTCATCTCCATCCCATTTCACACCTTCCTCTACCTGAGGTAGCTCCAGGCTGGCCTTGGGCACTGCCAGGGATGCAGGGGCAGCCACAGCTGCTCTGGGAAATCTGATTTCATGGACTTAATCCCAAATGTCCAAAGATTGGGGAGCTCAGGAGTTTCAGATCCTCACCCCCCAGTTTGGGTGCAAGAGGATTTTTGGTGGGAGCAATGTTCTCATTGAACCATGGAATGGTTTGGGTTAAAACAAACCCAAAAACTCATCCAGTGCCAAGAGCAAGGACATTTTCCACCATCCCAGGTTGATCCAAGCCCTGCCCAAAATTCCCAGGGATGCAGGGGCAGCCACAGCTGCTCTGGGAAATCCGTTTTTATGTGTTTATTCCCAAATATCCAAAGATTGGGGAGCTCAGGAGTTTCAGCTCCTCACCCCCCAGTTTAGGTGCAAGGGGATTTTTAGTGGGGTCAATGTGCTCATGGAACCATGGAATGGTTTGGGTTAAAAACAGAATTTAAAACTCATCCAGTCCCAAGAGCAGGGACATTTTCCACCATCCCAGATTGATCCAAACCCTGTCCAACACTTCCAGGGATCCAGGGGCACCCACAGCTGCTCTGGGAAATCTGTTTGAATTAATTTAATCCCAAATGTCCAAATATTGGGGAGCTCGGGAGTTTCAGCTCCTCACCCCCCCACAGTTTAGGTGCAAAGGGATTTTTGGGCAATGGAATGGTTTGGGTTAGAAATACAATTTAAAGAATTTAAAACTCCTCCAGTCCCACGGGCAGGGACATTTTCCACCATCCCAGGTTGATCCAAGCCCTGTCCAACACTTCGGGGGCACCCACAGCTGCTCTGGGCACCTGCCCACCCTGCCAGGGAACAATTCCTGCCCAAAATCCCACCCAGGGTAAAGGCATTCCCTGTGTGCTGGCGCTCCCAATCCATCCCTCTCCCTGCAGCCCTGGAAACCCACCCTGAGCTCACCCCAAATCCCACTCTGAGCACCCCAGCCTTGCTCAGGAGCCCCCAGCAAAGGGATTGAGGCACTTCCAACTAATTTGCAATAATTTGCTGCCAGCAGAAGTTACTGGGAAAGAAAAAATTTAAAACAAAGCAACAAAGGCTCCCTTTTCCCCCAGCTGCTCTTTATGCAAACACTGGATTACAATCAAGCTACCAGGCACTGAGGGAATTTTCATTTTCATTCCACACAAGTTTTGAAGGCCCTTGCTTGGCTGGCACTGCCTCATTTTCACCTTTTTTTTTTTTTTTTTCTTTTCAGCCAGCTGGAATGAGTTTATGCATAATAGAAAGATCATATAAATAAACAGTGTGAGTCACAAGGTTCTGCAGGTAGAACATCACTGAAAATTTTATCCTGTGCTTGGAGACTACACAAGCACAGATTTTTATTTTCTTTTTTTTTTTTTTTTTCCTTAAAGAGTAAAATGCAGGGCCTGCAATAACTCAGCCTAGCCTGCATCCCTCTGAGGAGAAAGGGATTCAAACCAGGCCTGGGTTTGAATCTCAACTTGGTCCCAACCATTTCCCCACAACCCTGAGGGAATTGTGCAAAAACCAGGAGAAAACTACAAAACCAGGCCTGGGTTTGAATCTCAACTTGGTCCCAACCATTTCCCCACAACCCTGAGGCAGAATTTGCTGAGGGGACTCAGGAGGGTGAAAATCTGTGAAACAGCAAAGGCACAACAGCTGCTCTGCTGCTCCCCTCTCTGCAAACAGCACCACAAAAATGAAAACAACCAAAATCAGAATTTCTGGGGGCAGAGCTTGACCCCTCCTGGCTGTCCCCTCCTGGCAGGGGCTGTGCAGAGCCACAAGATCCCTCTGAGCCTCCTTTGCTCCTTTTCCAGCTCCCTCAGGAATCCTCCATTCCATTCCCAGCTCCCTCAGGGATTCTCCAGCCCCTTCCCAGCTCCTTCACGAATTCTCCATCCAATTTCCAGCTCTCTCAGAAATTCCCAGCTCCCTCAAGAATTTTCCAGCCCCATTCCAGCTCCCTCAGGAATTCTTCAACCCCTTCCCAGCTCCTTCAAGAATTTTCCATTCCCTTCCCAGCTCCCTCAGGAATTCTTCAATCCCTTCCCAGCTCCCTCAGGAATCCTCCATTCAATTTCCAGCTCCTTCAGAAATTTTCCAGCCCTTTCACAGCTCTCTCAGGAATTCTCAGCTCCCTCAGGGATTCTCCATTCCCTTCCCAACTCCCTCAGGAATTCCCAGCTCCCTCAAGAATTTTCCATTCCCTTCCCAGTTCCTTCAGAAATTTTCCAGCCCCTTCTCAGCTCCTTCAAGAATTCTCCATTCAATTTCCAGCTCCCTCAGGAATTCCCAGCCCCTTCAGAAATTTTCCAGCCCTTTCCCAGCTCCCTCAGGGATTCTCCAACCCCTTCCCAGCTCCCTCAGGAATTCTCCAGCCCTTTCCCAGTTCCCTCAGGAATTCTCCAGCCCTTTCCCAGTTCCCTCAGGAATTATCCAGTCCTTTTTCCAGCTCCCTCAAGAATTCTTCAGCCCCTTCCCAACTCCCTCAGGAATTCCCAGCTCCCTCAGGGATTCTCCATTCCCTTCCCAGCTCCCTCAGGAATTCTCCAGTCCTTTTTCCAGTTCCCTCAGGGATTCTCCAGCCCCTTCCCAGCTCCCTCAGGGATTCTCCATTCAATTCCCAGCTCCCTCAGGAATTCTCCAGGATGTTCTGGATCCAGCACAGAGCTGCTGCCTCCACAAAGCCCTGCCTGCATGAAGAGCTCCCAGCAGAAAGAATTTGGGTCTGCACAACCATTCCACTCCAATTCCACTGATTTTTTGTGGATCTTCAGCAGCTGAGCCCCTCAGGCTCCTCAAGAGTGTCCTGAAGGTCCCACCAAGGCTGCCTTGGGTGATCGAGGGGTTCAGGAGCTCAAATTCCACCGATTTTGGGAGATTGGTTACCAAAGGGCTCTGAGGGGTTCAGGAGCTCAAATTCCACTGATTTTTTGTGGATTTTCAGCACCTGAGCCCCTCAGGCTCTTCAGGAGTGCCCTGGAGGTCCCACCAAGGCTGCCTTGGGGGATCTGAGGTGTTTAGGAGCTCAAATTCCACCGATTTTTGGTGGGTCTTTAGTAGCTGAGCCCCTCAGGCTCTTCAAGAGTGCCCTGAAGATCTGAGGGATTTAGAAGCTCCAATTCCACTGATTTTTTTGTGGATTTTCAGCAGCTGAACCCCTCAAGTTCTCCAGGAGTGTCCACCAAGGCTGCCTTGGGGGGGTTTAGGAGCTCCATCACAACTGAGTGATGCAGCACTCAGAGCAATCCAAAAACCCTTAAGAAGAATTTGAAGAAAAAAAATTATATATATATAAAATAAAATAAAATAAAATAAAATAAAATAAAATAAAATATTTATATAAAACATATAAAATTATATATAAAAAATATATTAAAAAATATATAATATTATATATAATATATAAAACATATATATAAACATGTCTATATAAAATATAAAATATTTTAAATACAGAAATATTTTTAAAAATATATAAATTATATATATTTTTTAAATTTATATTTTAAATATATAGAAAATATTTTATATAATATATATATTAAAAATATATAAAATATATATAAAATATAAAACCTTCAGCTAAACCAAAGGAAAAGCCCTGCAGGTGAACTTGGGGATTTTCTGCTTTTCCCACCCACTCCAAGGTGGAGAAAATAGCTTCTACCTGAGAGGCCAGTGATGTCCATCTTTGGCAAATGCCTGGCCTTCAGCACCACCACAGTCATCCTCTGTGCCACGGGCTGGTAGGACAGGGACACCTGCAGCTCCCCTCTGCTGATGCACTTCTGCCAGAAAAACACACACAGCTCCTCAGGACAGGCTGCTCTTCCTCACCGGGAGGGGGCCCAGAATTTCCTTTCCTCGTGTCAAACGGATAAAAAGCAGGGGAATGAGCCCCAGGTGTCTCAGGTGCAAACATATGAATTTGTGGAAAAAAACCAGGATTTGTGGCTGAGGATCTGCATCATTCCTGTTTGTGAAACCACTGAAGGTTCCAGATCAAAATCTCTGGGATAAAGCACACCAAAAATACGAATTTGTGGAAAAAACAGGATTTATGGTTGAGGATCTGCATTATTCCTGCCTGTTAAACCGTGAGGCTCCTGGATTAAAGCTCTGGGATCAAACACAGCCGTAAGACACAAAAAATACGAAATTCTGGAAAAAATAGAATTTATGGTTGAGGATCTGCATCATTCCTGTTTGTGAAAATACTGAGGGTCCCAGATCAAAATCTCTGGGATAAAACACACCAAAAATATGAATTTGTGGAAAAAACAGAACTTGTGGCTGAGGATCTGCATCATTCCTGATCTGAAGCTTCCAGATAAAAATTCCTGGGAGCAAACACAGAACAAAGAGTCCCCCCACACGGATTGAGGGTGCACACACCCACCTGTATGCTCCTTTTGAGGATCTTGGATCCTCAAAATTTTGAGGTGCTTGGATCCACCTCTGCAAGGTGGATATATCACCAAAAATATGAACTTGTGGAAAAACCAAGATTGATGGCTGAGGATCTGCATCATTCCTGTTTGTAGAACCACTGAGGGTCCCAGATCAAAATCTCTGGGATCAAACACAAACATATCACACCAAAAATATGAGTTTGTGGAAAAAATAGAATTTATGGTTGAGGATCTGCATTATTCCTGCCTGTTAAACCATGAGGCTCCTGGATTAAAAGCTCTGGGATCAAACACAGCCACATCACACCAAAAATATGAAAGTGTGGGAAAATTTCTGTGGATCTGCATCATTCCTGCTTGTAAAACCGTGAGGCTCCTGGATTAAAAGCTCTGGGATCAAACACAGCCATATCACACAAAAAAATATTCATTTGTGGAAAAAAAGGATTTGTGGCTGAGGATCTGCATTGTTCCTGCTTGATAAACCATGGAGGGTTGTGGATCAAAAGCTCTGGGATCAAACACAGCCATAAGACACAAAAAATATGAAATTGTGGGAAAAAATAGAATTTATGGTTGAGGATCTGCATTATTCCTGTTTGTGAAACTACTGAGGGTCCCAGATCAAAATCTCTGGGATAAAACACACCAAAAATATGAATTTGTGGAAAAAACAGGATTTGTGGCTGAGGATCTGCATTGTTCCTGCTTGATAAACCGTGGAGACTCCTGGATCAAAAGCTCTGGGGTCAAACACAGCCATATCACACCAAAAATATGAAATTGTGGAAAAATTTCTGTGGACCTGCATCACTCCTACTTGTAAAACCGTGAGGCTCCTGGATTAAAAGCTCTGGGATCAAACACAGCCATATCACACAAAAAAATATTCATTTGTGGAAAAAAAGGATTTGTGGCTGAGGATCTGCATTGTTCCTGCTTGATAAACCATGGAGGGTTGTGGATCAAAAGCTCTGGGATCAAACACAGCCATAAGACACAAAAAATATGAAATTGTGGGAAAAAATAGAATTTATGGTTGAGGATCTGCATCATTCCTGTTTGTGAAACCACTGAGGGTCCCAGATCAAAATCTCTGGGATAAAACACACCAAAAATATGAATTTGTGGAAAAAACAGAATTTGTGGCTGAGGATCTGCATCATTCCTGATCTGAAGCTTCCAGATAAAAATTCCTGGGAGCAAACACAGAACAAAGAGTCCCCCCACACGGATTGAGGGTGCACACACCCACCTGTATGCTCCTTTTGAGGATCTTGGATCCTCAAAATTTTGAGGTGCTTGGATCCACCTCTGCAAGGTGGATATATCACCAAAAATATGAACTTGTGGAAAAACCAAGATTGATGGCTGAGGATCTGCATCATTCCTGTTTGTAGAACCACTGAGGGTCCCAGATCAAAATCTCTGGGATCAAACACAAACATATCACACCAAAAATATGAGTTTGTGGAAAAAATAGAATTTATGGTTGAGGATCTGCATTATTCCTGCCTGTTAAACCATGAGACTCCTGGATTAAAAGCTCTGGGATCAAACACAGCCATATCACACCAAAAATATGAAATTGTGGAAAAATTTCTGTGGATCTGCATCATTCCTGCTTGTAAAACCATGAGGCTCCTGGATCAAAGCTCTGGGATCAAACACAGCCATATCACACCAAAAACATGAATTTGGGTAAAACCCAGAATTTATGGCTGAGGATCTGCATCATTCCTGTTTGTAGAACCACTGAGGGTCCAAGATCAAAATCTCTGGAGTCAAACACAAACATATCACACAAAAAATATGAAATTGTGGAAAAAATAGAATTTATGGTTGAGGACCTGCATCATTCCTGTTTGTAAAACCACTGAGGGTCCCAGATCAAAAGGTTTGGGATCAAACACAGCCACATCACAGCAAAAATAGGAATCTGGGGAAAAACCAGAACTTATGGTTGAGGATCTGCATCATTCCTGCTTGTAGAACCACTGAGGCTCCTGGATCAAAAGCTCTGGGGTCAAATACAACCATATCACACAAAAAATATATATTTGTGAAAAACCAGAATTTATGGCTGAGGATCTGCATCATTCCTGATCTGTGGGTTCCAGATCAAGATCTCTGGGGCCAAAGAGTCCCCCCCACACGGGTTGGGGGCGCACACACCCACCTGGATGTTCCTTTTGAGGATCTCCCTGGTGAGCTGCACCTTGCCCGTGCTGGGACCCACCCCTGCAAGGTGGATATATCACCAAAAACATGGATTTGTGGAAAAAATCCCAAAATTTATGGCTGAGGATCTGCATCATTCCTGTTTGTAAAACCACTGAGGGTCCCAGATCAAAATTCCTGGGATAAAGCACACCAAAAATATGAATTTGTGGAAAAAACAGGATTTGTGGCTGAGGATCTGCATTGTTCCTGCTTGATAAACCATGGAGGGTTGTGGATCAAAAGTTCTGGGATCAAACACAGCCATAAGACACAAAAAATATGAATTTGTGGAAAAACCAAGATTCATAGCAGAGGATCTGCATCATTCCTGTTTGTAGAACCACTGAGGGTCCCAGATCAAAACCTCTGGGATAAAACACACCAAAAATATGAATTTGGGGAAAAACCAGAATTTATGACTGAGGATCTGCATCATTCCATTTTGTAGAACCACTGAGGATCCCGGATCAAAATCTCTGGGGTCAAATACAACCATATCACACAAAAAATATATATTTGTGAAAAAACCCAGAATTTATGGCTGAGAATCTGCATCATTCCTGACCTGAATCTTCCAGATCAAAATCTCTGGGATCAACCACAGACCAAAGAGTCCCCCCCACACGGATTGGGGGCGCACACACCCACCTGGATGTTCCTTTTGAGGATCTCCCTGGTGAGCTGCACCTTGCCCGTGCTGGGACCCACCCCTGCAAGGTGGATATATCACCAAAAACATGGATTTGTGGAAAAAATCCCAAAATTTATGGCTGAGGATCTGCATCATTCCTGTTTGTAGAACCACTGAGGGTCCGAGATCAAAATCTCTGGGATCAAACACAAACATATCACACCAAAAATATGAAATTGTGGGAAAAATAGAATTTATGGTTGAGGATCTGCATTATTCCTGTTTGTAAAACCACTGAGGGTCCCAGATCAAAATCTCTGGGATCAAACACACCAAAAATATGAATTTGTGGAAAAAACAGAATTTATGACTGAGAATCTGCATCATTCCTGCCTGTTAAATCATGAGGCTCCTGGATCAAAAGCTCTGGGGTCAAATACAACCATATCACACAAAAAATATATATTTGTGGAAAAAACCCAGAATTTATGGCTGAGGATCTGCATCATTCCTGTTTGTAGAACCACTGAGGATCCCAGATCAAAAGCTCTGGGATAAAACACACCAAAAATATGAATTTGGGGAAAAAACAGAATTTATGACTGAGAATCTGCATCATTCCTGACCCGAAGCTTCCAGATCGAAATGTCTGGAATCAAAATCAGGCCAAAGAGTCCCCCCCCCCCCACGGGTTGGGGGCGCACACACCCACCTGGATGTTCCTTTTGAGGATCTCCCTGGTGAGCTGCACCTTGCCCGTGCTGGGATCCACCCCTGCCAGGGGCACCATCACCTCGCCGATCACGTCGTCGCGGGAGAAGCGGTCGAAGCTGAGCACCAGGAAGTGCAGCACCAGGTCCTGCAGCTGGCTGTAGGGGATGCCGTAGAAGGTGAAGGTCTCGTCGAAAACGGGCTCCAGGGTCTTGCGCAGCACGCGGGTCTTGACGCGGTGCCTCTTGTCGGGCAGAATGGTCATCTTGATGTAAGGGTCGGAGCTCTGCGTGTGCTCGTCCATCACCGGCAGCCCGCGGGCCTCCTGGATGGTGACCACCAGGGCTTTTTTGGGGAAGTTGTAGTCCACGGAGAAAGTCAGCTCTCCCAGCATCACGTCGTCGCCCGGCGAGGAGGGAGAGGAGGTTTTGCTCCCTCCCGGCGTGAGGCTTTGATCTGGGCTGAGTTCATCTCCGTAATCCACCTTGATGGGGAGCTGCTCCACCTGGGGGGGTCCGTCTGGAGCCTTGCTGGGGCCCCCCAAGCCGGCCTCGGCAGCGTCCAGCAGGAGGTTGCCCCCGCTGCCGCCCTCCGCGGCCGTGCCGCTCTTGTCTCGGCGGATCCGCTTGATTTTCTTCTTGTTGCTCAAGGTCTCCGGGTAGATGCTGATGCCTTTCAGCATGTGGATGAATTTGTAAGGGGGGGTTTTGTGCTTCTTTTCTGCTTGCTGGTGACAGCATGTCCACACAAAGACTGTGACTGAGACGGAAACCACCAGCACGGTGGCGCCGATGAGTCCGGCCACCACGGGGGACACATCTGTGGGGAGACAAGGCAGTGAGGAGCAGCACGCCTGGTCACACTTAATGCTGGCATTTGCCTAGCAGAGCATCCCCAAAATTCATTTCTCACACTCCCAAGGCATGTCTGACCGGTTTCCATGAGCTAAGGAAGGATCTCTGTCCTGCCACCATGAGGGACACATCTGTGGGCAGTGAGGAGCAGCACACCTGATGCAGATCCATACAGTGCTGTTGTGCTTTTAACTCTGGGATTTGCCCATCACAGCTTCCCCAGACATCATTTCTATCTCTAAATTTATTTCTCACACTCCTAAGTCATGCCTGATCCATTTTCCATGAGCTAAGGAAGGATCTGTGTCCTGCCAACACAGGGGGAAGTCAAGGCAGTGAGGAGCAGCACACCTGATGCAGATCCACACACTCCTGTCCTGTTTTAATTCTAAGATCTGCTTATCACAGATTCCTCAAACATCATTTTTTATCTCTAAATTTATTTCTCACACTCCCAAGGCATGTCTGACCCGTTTTCCATGAGCTAAGGAAGGATCTCTGTCCTGCCACCACACACCTGCTGCAGATCCATACATTCCTGTCATACTTAATTCTGGCATTTGCCTACCAGAGCTTCCCCAAAATTTATTTCTCACACTCTCAAGGCATGCCTACATCACTGCTATCTCTAAATTTATTTCTCACACTCCTAAGTCATGCCTGACCTGTGTTCCATGAGCTAAGGAAGGATCTCTGTCCTGCCACCATGAGGGACACATCTGTGGGGAGACAAGGCAGTGAGGAGCTGAGACCTGGCTGAAGATCCACACACTCTTGTCGTGCTTCAAATTCTGGGATTTGCCTATCAGAGCATCCCCAGACATCATTTTTGATCTCAAAATTTATTTCTCACACTCCTAAGGCATGCCTGATCCATTTTCCATGAGCTAAGGAAGGATCTCTGTCCTGCCAACACAGGGGACACATCTGTGGGCAGTGAGGAGCAGCACACCTGGCTGAAGATTTACACATTCCTGTGGTGCTTTTAATTATGGAATCTGCCTATCACAGATTCCTCAAACATCATTTTTATCTCAAAATTTATTTCTCACACTCCTAAGTCATGCCTGATCCATTTTCCGTGAGCTAAGGAAGGATCTGTGTCCTGCCACCATGAGGGACACAACTGTGGGGAAGTCAAGGCAGTGAGGAGCTGAGACCTGGCTGCAGATCTACACACTCCTGTCGTGCTTTTAATTCTAAAATCTGCCTGTCAGAGCATCCCCAAACATCATTTTTATCTCTGAATTTATTTCTCACACTCCTAAGTTATGCCTGATCCACTTTCCTTAACTCATGGAAGGATCTCTGTCCTGCCACCATGAGGGACACATCTGTGGGCAGTGAGGAGCAGCACACCTGGCTGAACATTTACACATTCCCGTGGTGTTTTAATTCTGGAATCTGCCTATCACACATTCCTCAAAGATCATTTTTATCTCTAAATTTATTTCTCACACTCCTAAGTCATGCCTGATCCAATTTCCATGAGCTAAGGAAGGATCTCTGTCCTGCCACCACACACCTGGCTGCAGATCCGCACACTCCTATCACACTCTTAATTCCAATATCTGCCTATCAGAGCCTCCCCAGACATCATTTTTATCTCTAAATTTATTAAATTTTTATCTCTAAATTTATTTCTCCCCCCCCCAAGGCATGCCTGACCTGCTCGCTGAGCTCAGGATCTCAAACTGTTGCTCGCCTCATCTTGCCAAGCCCAGCTCCTGCCTCACCACATCTCCATAGGAACGCTGCTCTCGATGCGCAGGCAACATTTGCTTTGATTTTATTTTTTATTTTATTTTTTTAATGCCCTGCTCAGGAACGTTACACAATTCCATTTTCACAACAGGGAGGGAGTCATAAATATGGCCATAATGCTGGGTTTGAGATATCCTTCATTAACAATATTTAAAATTTCCTTTTGCCCTGAATTGGGTGTTTTGTCCTGGTTTTTGTGGTTAAATCCAGGGGTAAACATGAAATCCCTCATGGAAATCCAGTGTCCAAAAACAGACAGAAAATCCTCCTATTATAAAATAATAAAGTTATTTTATTCTGCCTTGGATTTAGGGATTATCTGATATTTTCTAGATTTTATACCAAGTGTGTTAATCAGTAATAGCAAGGCAGAATGTAAAAAATAATTTAACAATATTTAAAATTTCCTTTTGCCCTGAATTGGGTGTTTTGTCCTGGCTTTTGTTGCTGTTTCCATGAAATCCCCCATGGAAATCCAGTGTCCAAAACCAGACAGAAAATCCTCCTATTATAAAATAATAAAATTATTTTATTCTGCCTTGGATTTAGGGATTAGCTGATATTTTCTAGATTTTCATACCAACTGTGTTAATCAGTAATGGCAAGGCAGAATTAAAAAAATAATTTTAAAAAAATTTTTAAAAAACTCAAAAAGTGCTCATTTTTATTGGTTTATTTGCTGATGGAGAAGTTTTAAAAATGAACCCAGAGGTGCTGAGGTCCCCAGGGAGGCGTTAGGAAGGTTTAAGTTTCATGTAAATTATTTTTGTATATATATATATAAATATATATATATATATATATAGTGTTTATATATATGGTTTATATATATATGAGTTTTATATATATATATATGGTTTATATATATATATATATGGTTTTTATATATACATATGTATATGGTTTATATATATAAATATGGTTTATATATATATATGGTTTATATATATATATATGGTTTATATATATCTATATGGTTTTTATATATATACGTGGTTTTTATATATATATGGGTTTTATATATATACATATATTTATATATGGTTTATATATATCTATATATGGTTTATATATATGGGTTTAATATATATATATGGTTTATATATATATATATGGTTTATATATATAAATATGGTTTATATATATATATGGGTTTTATATATATATATGGTTTATATATATATATGGGTTTTATATATATATGGTTTTTATATATATGTGGTTTTTATATATATATGGCTTATATACATATATATGGTTTTTATATATATATGGTTTATATATATATGGTTTTTATATATATGTGGGTTTTATATATATATATGGCTTTTATATATTTTTTAATATGGTTTATATATATGGTTTATATATATATATTTATATATGGGTTTTATATATATATGGGTTTTATATATATATATGTATATGGTGTTTTTATATATATATATGTATGGCTTTTATATATATATGGGTTTTATATATATATATGGTTTATATATATATGGTTTATATATATATATGGTTTATATATATATGGTTTTTATGTATATATATTTATATATGGTTTATATATATATATTTATACATGATTTATTTATATATATATGGTTTATATTTATATATGGTTTTTATATATATGGGTTTTTTATATATACATATATATGGTGTGTATATATATATGGTGTATATATATATGGTTTTTATATATATATATAGGTTTTATATATATATATGGTTTATATATATGGTTTTTATATATATATATATTTATATATGGTTTATATATATATATTTATATATGATTTTTATATATATGGTTTATATATATATATATGGTGTGGTTTTTTTAATATATATTTTTATATATATATATATATATATATATATATATATATATATATATATAGTTTTAAAGCAATTTTCTTTCATTTTTTGGCAGCCAGCAAACAAACAAGCAAATAAATAAAAAGCCACCTAAGCCCATTTTGTATTCTGTCCCAAATTGTCCAAACCCCTCCTTCACCAAAAACCTTTAGCATGACAATTGGGCAGCACCCAAATGAGCCAGATGATTCAAAAAAATATAAATTTATCTCATTTTCCTCTTCATTCTGTACCAAAACCAGGAGGAAATCATCTTCTAACTCATCCTTGGAGCTGCAGAGAGCAGCACAATTTTGGATTTTCTCCCCACATCACCATTTGTTGAGGCTAACAGAGCACCTGACAGGCCCAGGGAAAATTATTTTGCTGGAAAAATCACTTTTAGTCGGACAGAAACCTCTCTGAGCTGCTGCTGGATGGTTCCACAGAGATTCCTGTGCCAGAGCTGGGGATGAATGAATGGAGGCAAGAAAAATTCAGAATATTGACAAAACCCCACCCCAAAAACCCCAATTCAGGTCGTTATTTAATGTTCCCTCCTCAATGTGACACAAATGATCCTGAACAGCTCATTCGGAGAGAGCTCAGCTTGAAAGGCTTTGGGGGGTGTGTAAAAAATGCTGAAACCCCATTTTCATTTTCATTTTCATTTTTATTTTTATTCTTACTCTTAGTCTTACTCTTTGTGTTATTCTTATTCTTTTATTTTTATTTTTATTCTTATTCTTACTCTTACTCTTACTCTTATTCTTTTATTCTTATTCTTATTTTTATTCTTATTCTCATTCTTATTCTCTTATTCTTACTCTTATTCTTATTCTCTTATTCTTATTATTTTATTCTTATTATTTTATTCTTATTCTTACTCTTATTTTTCTTATTCTAATTGTAATTCTTATTCTCTTATTCATATTATTTTATTCTTATTATTTTTCTTATTCTTATTCTAATTCTTATTCTTATTCTCTTATTCTTATTCTTTCATTCTTATTTTTATTCTTATTCTAATTCTTATTATTTTATTCTTATTCTTTTATTCTTATTCTTATTTTTATTCTAATTCTTATTCTTTCATTCTTATT